CTGCCATCCCACCCCCAAACCCTGGCCCTCAGCACCGCCTCTGCCCGGCTGTTAAATCCCCCCAGGGCTGGGGACTCGACCCCTTCCCTGGGCAGCCCCTTCCAGCCCCTGACAGCCCCAAGGGGAAGGAATTGTTCCCCATGCCCAACCTCACCCTGCCCTGGCACAACTGGAGGCCGCTGCCCCTCGTCCCATCGCCCATTACCAGGGAAATAATAAACCCTGCCCTAAAGCCCTTCATGGGTTTAAACCCTTTAAACGCTGCCACAAGCTGGGTTTAGCTTTAGCTGAGCGTGGCACTGACTGGCACGAGGTGGGAAAAGGCATGAGAAGAGGAGAACGTCAGGAAGGGGTGTCTGGCAGGTCAAGGCTCAGGTCTGCTTTTAGCATTGACCCTTCACCAACGCCTTTTGAGGTCATCCTTTGAACAACGGCAAGAGCGGGCAGGAACGGACGCTGGAATTTGATTTATTTGAGACATCACCTTCATCCAGTGCTAAACTTTGTATCGTGGGGGCATGTGAAGGGTACCAATCGCCAGGAACATGGCCTTCAGCCGGTTTCCACAACGCCTCTTCATTTTAGAGCCGAGATTTCAGCAACGCACACTTGATCCAGCCAGAAGGAAAAAACCAGACCTCGCTTACCCAGCCCAAAACGCTGGTTTAAACCCCTACCGAATGGCACAAGGCGACGGACGGCACGACGCACCGTGTTCCAGCCCGGCTGGAAAGATGGGGGCATTCAAGGTGGGGATGAGAACAGCGATTCGGTTCCAGGCTGAACTCGTTCAGCTCAAACCGAAACGCCCCTGAAGGTAACGGCCGGCTCCGCACAGGCTGAAGCTCAAAGGAGAGACCATGAAGCCTTTGAGAGCTGCAGCCGCTTTGATTTCGGTGTCCAGCCTGCTCTGTGGCTACACAGACACCGCTGCTTTCCACCTCCATCAGGAAAGAAACCTCCAATTCAAGCTGAAAATCCTTGCCTCCAGAGGTAGGAGGGGTTAATGACTTCTAAATGCAGGTGCGTGCTCGTTACATTTCAAACGAGCCAGGTCTCCCTTCGACCTGGGGGTTCCACCACCAAGAGCCGCCCTACGCTACTTCACCAAGCAAAAAAAGTCTCGCCGGCCGAGGTTTTCCTGGGCGATCTCCTCGCACGCAAACCCATAGAATCATAGAATCATGGAATGGTTTGGGTTGGAAGGGACCCCTAGAGGTCACCCAGCCCAACCCCCCTGCAGGAGCAGGGACACCGCTAACCAGATCAGGTTGCTCACAGCCCTGGCCAACCTGGCCATTGGCTCCT